ACACCGGCGACTCACAGCAGCCCAGCTCCAGGTCGAGCTGTTGTTCAGCATCTTAGCTGTAGAGGGCAGTGTCACTGGCTCTTATATGTGGGATCCGAACCGGGGCCCTCTGGCGTCCCAAGCCGGTTCTTAACCAACGCGCCACTCGGCCGGCCCCCAAGCAAGCTCTTAACCAGCTGAGCCACTTGGCTGGCCCAACATGTAATTCTTTATGTGTGGATATGTAGGAATACCAATAGACAAATGCACAAAGGACACAAAAACGACTCAAAAAGGGAAGTTCAACTAGTAAAAATAAGGGAAATATTTAACTTATACTCCATAACCTCACTTTTGGCAAAGGCTAAATGAATGAAGATCTTTGCATTGTTATTGTAATATCTGTGTCTTAATTTTCTCTTCGTTTGTTTTGTTCACAGAGATTGTTCATAGGCCAATTGCCTTTTTTTTTTTTCATTTCCTCAAAGAGCTTCTTGGTCATAGCCTGATAGCTTTAAAAGATTTTTTGAAGATTCTTGGTGTGTCAATTACCATTATCACATTACTGAAAGTAAAAAGGGAAAAAAATCATACATAATTTCACCGTCATTACAAACCAAGTGTAAATGTCCCTATGTTCAATTACTTTTCTCATTTCTAGGTGTAGATTTGAATTATTTCTTTAAAAAATAAAGTAACAGATATACATATGATTAGAAAATAAAATTATATAGAAAAGTTTAAAATAGTAAGCAATATTCTCTTGCCTCTCCCTTTCTAAATTGCTATTCCACATCCTACCTTTAATCATTTCTGGTTGCCATCATATATTTTATTTTTGTCTCACCAAGTTTAGACTTCTATTGACTTTATGTATGATAAGTAATGATATAACACACCTCACACTTACTTCTTTGGTAACTTTATATTTTTTCCAGTTTTATTGCGATATAATTGACATACATCACTATATAAGTTTAAGGTATACAGCATAATGGTTTGACTTACACATATTGATTACCACAATAAATTTAGTAAGCATCCATCATCTCTTATGGATACAATAAAAAGAGAAAGCAAAAAGAAAATAAACTTGGTAAAGCCACCCTTTTCCTTTTTCTTTTTCACATTCTAATATCTGTAAACCGTACATTTACATTTCCAAAGTTGATATTTGCATTCTATAACCATAAAACCCCCTTATTCTATCTATAGTTTGCTTCTAAAATTGGAAATTTATAGACAGGGTTTACATTATGTAAATATTCTCTGAGTGGGCCAATTAACACAGTCTGATTACCTTTACTATTTTTCCAATTTTGTGACCTCTGTTTCCACCGACAGAGTCAAATGAAAGTGTCAGAGTCAAATAAAAATGGATCAAAACCATTCCATATACCTATTTTCTTTAAACTTAGACCATACTCTGAACAATTTGTTTACCCTGGAGTTTGTCTTTCTTCCTAAGGCTCTGGCCTAAGCTAAAGTAGGAAGCTCAAAATGTGGAATACAGAGCATCAGCTGCACATGTGAGGGCTTGGGAATAATGGTGATGTAGTAGTGAATGAAGGTGAGGGGTGGTCCTGATTTCACACAGGGCAAATGACCTACCTACTCCACGTCCCCAGGGTCTTGAGGTAGAGGAGTAAAGGTTTTTCTGATTTGTTCAGCATTGTAATATTTTTACATAGGGCAGCAGCATTGGACAGATGTTTACTTTTCCTATAGCTTTACACTTACACTGTTTGCATAGTTATCTCTTTATTGGTCTAACAAACTTGAGAGAAGACAGCTTTTCATTGTGTTTGCTTTGTGTGCTCTTCATAGATTATTAAATGTGTTGAAAATGGGGTACTTACCTAGTTTTTAAAGCATTTTCTTACGGCCCTATTAAAAGTTCAGCCACTTATCAGTGTGAGTAATGCTGTGGTCGGCTGAAGCTGCTGTGCTTACTGTTGGCTTTATTTTTAAAATTTTTGAATTTATTTTTTTTATTAGTTACAGGTGTACAAAACAATGTAATAGACATTTCACTCCTCACAAAGTGATAATCCCCTCCTCCAATCCATTGCCCCTCTGACATCGTATATATCTATTGCAATTCCATTGACTCTCTTCCCTATATCCCGTGTCCATATATATATATATATATATATATATATATATATATATATATATATATATATAATTATGGTTGACATACAATATTCTTCAACTTCAGGTGTACAGTGCAGTGGTCAAGCACCTACACCATCCATGAAGTGGTCTCCCTAATAAGATGTGCCCATTTGACCCTACAAAATCTTTACAACATTATTGATTATATTCCCCAAACTGTCTCAAATCCCTGTGGCAATATTGTAGTTGACTTTAGATTCCCCCACCATAAATTGTGTACCTAGTGCCTCCATTGTCAAAGTGAGCCCAGGAAGCACTGGTCTTATGTCCTGAGGCTCTGGCGGTGAAGAGAGGAGCTGTCTTTTAAGATCCGACCAGGAGAGAACCGAGCCTCGGGAGTTGGGTAGCTGTGTGCAGCTGTGGCCGCTGTGAAGCTGCCAGTACCGGGAACCGGCTTCCGCCTGCGTCTGGGCTCAAGTTGGCGGATTCCAGGGGCGTCCCTGACTTGGTGGTCCTTGCGCTCCTCCCAACCTGGCAGCGTTTGCTCCTGGTCTGGAATGACAGCTAGCGAGGGCGTGGAGCAGAGGGAGCCTTTCCCCCGGTTGGGTGGGGCGGGAGGTTGGCCCTCGGAGGCCCTGGGACTCGTCTGAGCAGCTGGGACCGAGCTGAGTCCCTGCACACAAGAGCGCCTACTGATCGCATCCAGGTGAGTGGCGTGGGGCGCGACTGTGGTGGGCTGGCACCATGCGGGCTTTCCTTGGGCTCCTTTAGAATTTGTTCCTAATCGTTTTGAATCACATAAGTTTATAGACTCAAGTTTTGCATACAATCTCAGGGATTTACCAGCATCTCTAAAATCCGTTCATAAGCCCATCCAACGGGTCAGGGAACTGCAGATTGAGGCTCCAGCTCTGGAGACAGATGGTGCCATGAGAAATGCCATGGGGGCTGGGGGGTGGCGGGGCGGGGATGGTTAATGTGCTGTGACACTTCGGACGCTGGAAATTGAAGTGAGCAAATGGGATCTGTCCTTGAGTTTGGGGCTGGCAATTTAGGATTCCATAATCCTTTACCTAAGTGATTCACTGTTTTGCTATCATTTAAGGGGTGATTGTCAAATTATCAAAGTAGAGCAATGGCATTTACTTTTCTGTGGGCGGTTTTGTGAATGAGAATTGCGTGTAAGATTTGTCTCCATCAGCTAGTGTTTGTGGGGTGGTTTTTCACCATTTAGGACCAAAACCCAACTTTCCCTCCCCTTCTGAACATATGAACCTATTAATTATCCCACGGTGTTGGATATGTCTATTTTAATTTGATTTTTGTCTTAGTTTTGGGAGGGTGGTTACTTGGGAGGAAGGGGGAGATTAAAAATGAAATCAAAATATTTAAAATATTCAGTTAAAACTTTTATGTGCAGGAGGAGAAACTCCCGTGTAACAAGGTGGGCATAACTTCATACTAAATAGATAGTTGGAGTAGCCTTAACATTGGCTTCGTTTGTTGATTTGTGTGGTACTTAGCATTATCAGTGATCTGCTTTAGGCCTGGTTTGCATATAGTATATAAAAGGTAGACAACAACTGGGTTTTCCAATGAAGTTACACAGTGCATGCAGTTACAATAAAATATTAAAAAAAATTTTTTTTAAGACAGGCAGCCTTGTGTAACAATGCAGCATAAGTATCATAGCTGAATGCTGGTACACTTGTATTTTAATGTTCAAGTATTATTCTAGTATTGTATAAGCTGCTTTATCAGTGTTACATAGTTGAGAAGTCAGAAATCACATTTGCAACAATAATGGTTGAAACTCTATTATAAATATCACACAGGCATAGGTGATGCTTGTTAATGAACCATTTTGGCGTCTTACTATAGTCCTCATCTATCAATTGTTTCATGAGTCTTAGAATGTTCACCGCTGGATATGTATTCATGATACACATTCTAATCAGCTATGTGTTCTTCTCAGTTAAATGCAGTGCAAGTTCTGACAGTTTCATCTTAACATGTTTATTCTTCAGCCGAGTTATTTTGTTAGGTTACCAGTCATTTGGGATGGTGGAAAGTTTGGTTCCAGTAATTTATTTGAATCCTATAAACAGAATTACTGTTGCAATAGTGCCACAGTTAATACCAGCATTTGAAATAGAATATAGACTGTGTCAGTGCCAGAATAACTATAGTATATCATAGTGTGGATAATATGAATAAAATATGTACAAGTGGTGCTAATCATGTATTTAAGCTAAGTAATAATAGATTTCACGTAGTTTTCTCATCTGTGTATATAATTCAGTAGGAAAATGAACCCTACTGTAGTGCAGACTCAAACTGACCTAAGTTTGAACCCTAGCTCAACCTCTTAGTAATTGTGTACTTTGGGAGAAGTTAACTTTTTAATTTTTTTCTTTGATATAAAATTTACCTATAATACAACGCACAAATCTTAAGTATATGGCTAAATTTTTACCTATGTATACTCCTTGTAACCATCACCAAAATCAAGACATGTAATATTTCATCACCCTCTCGCCCCTTTCCAGTCAACTCCCTTGTATAGAGGTAACTACTATTCTGATTTTTATCAACATAAATTAGATATTCCTGTTCTTGTGCTTCATATAGATGGAATCATAGAGTATGCTCTCTTTTGTGTCTGGCTTTTGATCAGCATAATATCTGTGAGGTTCACTGATATTGTGTGTATCAGTAGTTTGTTACATTTTATTGTGCAGTTTTCCGTCATGTGAATATACTACAAATTGTTTTTCCAGTTTCTTGTTGATGGGCATTTGAGTTTCCAGTTTTTTACTCCTATGAATATTTAAAGCTCCTATGAATATTCTTCTACAAGTCTTTTGGTGAACATAAGCACACCGTTCTCTTAGGTATGTACCTAGGAGTGGATTATAATGTAGGTATGTATTTAACTTTATTAGAAATGGCCAAATATTTTTCCAAAAATGGTTGTACCTTTTAGCATAGCCACCAGCATTGTAAGAGTGTTTCATTTGTTCTACATCCTCACCACTACTTGGTATTGTTGGTTTTTTTATTCTAGCCTTTGCTGTGGTTTGAATTTATATTTGCCTGGTGATTAGTGATGTTGAACACCTTTTCATGTGCTTATTGGCCATTCTCTCTTTCTTAGCCTGTTTACATGTCTACCCAGTCACAGTCTTGCAAACAATACACTTCAAGTGGTAAAAGGGGAGAAGAAAAGATGGAATCAAGGGATGTGGTGCTATCTTGCTGTTCAGTGGTGACACCAAGAGTTGTGAAAGTGGTTTCTTCTTAGACACTAGCTGCTGTTACAACCCCCAAAACTTCAGTGACTTTGCTAGATAGATGTTTTTTGCTCACCTGACTATTCAAGGTGGGTGCTCCTGGTAGGTAGGGGGCTTCTCAAGTAGTTATTTAGGATTCCAGGCTTCTTCCATCACCTGGCCCTACAATCTTTGATACATGGCTTGCAAGGTCTTTGTGCTTCTCTTCAGCCAGCCAGAGAAAGGGAAAGAGTGGGAGCAGTGGAGGCAGGAGGTGGACATATGCAAGATCTTCATGAGTCAGGAAAGGAAATGACATACACATTTCTCCTCACATTCCACTGCTGAAAACTGAGTCACATCTAATTTTAAGGGAGATTGGAAAATGTAGCCTTCTGCCTAGGAATCAGCTAGCAGTCTCTGCCAATACTGACTGTTCTCAGGAACGGTCAGTGGGTTTCTATATTAAACTGAGTCAGGACACTGGATTAAGACTAACTTCTTGGTCTGCTTCTAATAGCAAGGAATTTGTGTAAACTGACAAGAGGATTTTTTTTTTAATTGGGGATTTGGGGGGATGGGAACAGACAAGTTGTTGTCATTTTGTTCTTCAGTCTAGTTGTGGAGGGCGTCACTTCACTGGCCCAAGTTGGCACCATCATTGCGCTCTTCCTGGGTGAGGCAGATCAGTCGCCGGCTTCTGGACGGCCACTCACTGCGGCTGCTGGCCACTCATGCTGGCTGCTGGCTACTCACGGTAGCCCATGGCAACCCACTGCAGCAGGGGCTGCAGCCTACACCGTTGCCGGCAACTCACGACAGCCCAGCTCCGCATTGAGCCATTGTTCAGCATCTTAGCTGTAGAGGGCAGAGTCACTGGCCCTCATATGTGGGATTCGAACCGGGGCCCTCTGGCATTCCAAGCCAGTTCTTAACCATTGCGCCACTCCGCCGGCCCGACAAGAGGATTTTAAGAAATCTTTCCATTCTCTGCTTTCTACGTCTTGACTGTGCTATAGGAGTTGGTGAGTGACCACAGAAGTACAGATAATAAGAACAATAAATCCATCCTGTGATGGCTTAAAATGCTTTGGTGAAAGCTCTTCTCCATTATAACTTTATTTATCTAATATCTGATAATTTATAAAGTAAATCTAATTTAGAATAAGGTAACAAGATTACTCTATCTTTCATTAATATTTCAGGACTTAGTGATTTTAAAACTTTAAAAGGGTGTCTAAGTAGTTTTTTAGTGACTTATTTGAAAGCTACTTCTAAGACTGTCCATAGGGAAATGCAAAGCTGTTTCTTTGACACCTTTCTCTTGAGCTACAATATATTGGAGTTGCTCCTAATATATTGGAGTTGCTAAATAATTCCACTGTTCTTTTGTAATTAAAATCCTCCAACAATAAGAGATAGATTGCCTTGAATCATTTAAACCCTGGGTCATTAACCTTTCTAGCTCTTAAGAGTCCAGTGCACATCACTGTCAGAGGAAAGAGAGGGAGAAGAAAGCAAGGGAAGAAAGATGAGAGGGCAATGGAAGAAAATGAATGTGAGCTGAGGTGTAGTTGAGCTTCCTAAGTAGCCCTGTATTTAAGCTTTACTTGAGCAAAGCATTGCTCTAGAGCAATGCTGTTCAATAGAAATGAAATGTGAGCCGCATATGTTATCAGTATACCCCAAATGTCATTTCAGCATGTAATAAATATAAGAATTATTGAGATATTTTGCTTTTTATTTTTTTTTACTAAAGCTTTGGAATTCAATGCATATTTTATAATTACCTCACATCTCAATTTGGATGCTGTTTTTCATTGGACATACTTGATCAGCGTTTAGACTTTATAAAATAGACATAATATAATACTGGGTTGTCAGAAAAGTCATGGCACATTTTTGCAATGAAAAACATAGAAAAAATATGTCATGACTTTTCCGACAACCCAGTAAATTTTGATTCACACACCCAATATAGATTCAAATACCCAAGTTGTTCCAAACATACTTAAAAGTTTTCCAATAGTTGAATCAAGTTTAATTTTAAATTTACATGAATAAAATTAAATAAAATTGAAAATTTAGTTTCTCCGTTGCACTAGCCATGTTTCAAGTGCTCAGTAGCCATGGGGGCTGATGGCTTCTATATCGACAGTGAAGCTCTAAGAGTCTATACTGAGTTTAGATTTAGGAAGGCACTAAGAAAGTACTCAAGAAATATTTGTGGCTTGAAAATATCAAATCTATTTTAAAGTATTCAGAGTTGAAAGTGATGTTAATAAATAAGCTAATTTAATTAAACAGCTGGAGGGAAGTCAGTTTTCCAAAGCCACATCTTTGCTTCCCAAACTTAATTATTCCTAATAAGAATTCACTGTGAAGCTATTTAGACCAGACTGGCTATACCTTTGTGGAGGGTGCCTCTTTTCAG